ACGGACACAGCTCATTAAGTCAATCAGCCGAGGCCGTAGAATATCAAAATACAGCTCTGCCTCTTACAGCAGCTACGTAAGCCTTCATAATCAGCCATAAAATGTTTTATCACACCTCCTACATCAACAGATAAACACATGCAGCATGACAACATACAGTAAATACGGCTCTGAGTCTATATTAGGCTCACATTATTCCCTCAGTGGACTGGTTTTCAAGGTACGACTATAAAATCCCACTATCTTCATCTCATTCTAATTCCCTGTACATAAATAGAGAAGTGCTACAATGTGTACATCTGCTACAGAGGGCACTAAATAGAGGATTGGCTGAAAAGGATGTTTACATGTGTACAGTATGTCGTCATTTGATGCTCTGAAAAGAAGACAGCATTTGCACTCAGTGTGACATAAAACTACTACGTGAATGCAATCTGTACTCAAAAAGCTTAATGAGGGATCTTTGACACTGCTCCATTTTCTTTGTGTATATTCCCCCTCTTATCTTTTTCTCTCCATCCATCCATGATTCTACCTCCCAACCCCATCTTATTTTTAGCCTGTGTCTCCGTGTACCAATGACATGTAATGACAATGGCGTAAGCACCAATCGATATTGGAGTGCTTTTGGGATGCTCAGGCAGCAGGGACAGAGGCCTGTGTTGAAAGCAGGGTGACAGGGACACTGTGGGGCTGTGGTGGGGTAAGGTAGAGCAAGGTGGATGCCATTTCACTGATGAATATATCTAACCCACTCCTGGCTAATGAGTGCTGTTTTTTGTGATGTACATTATGTGACAGTTGTCATTTATTTCTCATATGAACGGGTCTAAGGCCTCATTTCTTAAAACATGCGTAAAACAAGATCTAAATGTGTGCGTAAAGAATAACTTGGAGACAGAAGTAGCAGCTGAGATACAAATAAAAGATAATGTAGATATATTTTTTTGTCATCTTACTTTTCTTAATGAGTTGTTTGGTCAATAAAACATTGAAAAAACGATGAAAAAAGCCCATAACACTATCATAGAGCCAAAGGAGATGACATCGAAAGTCCTTTTTTGTCTGACCAATGCAGAAAGATGTTCAGCTTACTAAGAAGTAAGACCAAGGAAAGCAACTGAGAATCAAGAACATTTAAATAAAATGCATTACAATAATAAATCCATTATCATACTAGTTTCTGTCCATTGCTACCTTATTCATATTTAAAATAAAAGTATATGTTCTCTTACATAATTAAGGATCATAGCTCATCACTCACTTTTTGTACAAGGTCAACAGTTGTTTTTTGTGTCTGCACAAACAAACTGTCATTACACATGTGTACTACTAGGGATTTGTTGGTACCCATGGTCAGAAACAGTTATGAAATGGGCACGTGTGTTTGGAGAGCATAGATTGTTTCATTTGCCCGAGTTAGTGAGTCGTTCTATAATCTAAATGTGTTGCAATTCATTACTCAGATCATTAAAACAACACATTGATATCTGTTCCAGAGTTGTCGTATCAACTCATTTTCTCGATTCTTTAGACATAACTAGAATGCACCACTAATTCCCAAAGTGAATGTGCCTCCACCCTGTAATTCGGACACACTTCATAATGTAACAGGTTATTCCTTGGCCTATGCTGCACCTTTTCACCTCATGAAAATCGGCCAGTAGTTTTTCCTGTAATCCTGCTGACAGAGAGAATCCAAAACAAAAACATATGCGGCAGTAAAAAGCGTACACACGTTTTTTGCACAACATTTTGTAGGTTGTCAAATGAGGCTTCAGATTTGATTGAGCTTTGTCTTGAAGGGTCATGCTGATGTCCATGAAGAGCAGAAATAAAATGAATGGGGCAACAGTGATGGTTTGAAAAAGGAGAGGCAGTAGAAAAAACAAAGACAAGCACACAAATTGAAGGTGGCATGGTGAATGTGATTCAACACCAAACCCAGATGCCAATTACATTACCTCTAAAACAGAGGGATTGGATTGAAGGGTGGAGATATAGAAGGAGAAAGAGGAGGAGGTGAAGTGGGGGGGCTTTCACTCAAAGAAAAATAATTTATTTCATTGTGATATTAAAATCAATAGCATCGATTGAAAGGTGGCTAAAGGTGAGCGTGCACATGATCCTTCAGCTGTGAGAGGCAGAGAGCGAGGGAGGAAGGGAGAGGGAAGGGAAAAAAAGAAGAAGGGTGGCCAGAGGAAAGAGTCACCTCCTAGTTAACAAAGAGGGAACAGGAAGAAGCAAACACAAGAAGAGAGAAAGAAAGAGATGGAGAGAGAAGGAGTGAGGGAGCTCTTGCCCGGTGGAATCAATACAGAGAGGTGGAGCGGAGTACAATAGCCTCAGAGGAGAGAGGAGATTCAGTGGTGCAAGTCTAATACTCTCACACACACACACACACATGCAAACACACACACACTCGCCCCCTCTCTGAATCCTTTTTACTCTTGCTTTCGCCTGACATTTCCCGCTATATCCTTCCTCTATTTAATTTCATTCTCTTTCTCTTTCGCTCGCTTGCTCATTTTGTTTCCAAGCTGCACCCCTCGCCACACACACACACACACACACACACACACACACACACACACACACACACACACACACACACACACACACACACACACACACACACACACACACACACACACACACACACACACACACACACACACACACACACACACACACACACACACACACACACACACACACACACTGAGTAGCTGTCTGTATGCAGAGGGATGCACGGCAAAGCAGTCCACCATAATAGCAGCATCTTTCATCAGTCATGTCAGAATGAACACACATGTATGGAGTGTAGAAAAACACACCCCCACACAAATATGCCATTTCTTAGTATAATGACACTTTTATAAGACATTTTCCGAGTCCACTTCCACACACTTACTGCAGAGTCAGAGGCACTTGGATGCGGAAGGAGTGTCACATGAACACTTTAGCGCACACATACAAAACAGCACGCTCCAACTCTACTCCAGCTCTATCAGCACTTGAGACTAGTGAGGCTTCAATTAGTTCTTGATGAATGAGCCCATAAGATGCCGCTCTCTCATTTCCCTTGTTGCCAGATATCCCAGCAATCAGAGAGAAATGAATTCTCATTGTGGCGTGACTGAGACGAAGATGACGGTGGTGGTGGAGGAGCTGGAGCACCAACATAAATCACTCACCCTCTCCACCGAGGACCAGAGTTCAGCTTAATCACACCAAACTTGACGAGACTTTGTACATTTAAATAATTTTTGGGTAGTGCTCGTCTTAGCTTGAAAACTGGGTTATTCAATTACCTAAGAAACTTGTATTTACTCAAAATGTTAGTTGTCTTAAAGAGGCCCTATTATGCTTTTTGGGGTTTCCCTTTCATGTAGTGCAGCGGTTTTCAAAGTGTGAGGCGCGCCTCCCCGGGGGGCGCCAAAGAGCTTCAGGGGAGGCGCAGCGGGAGAAACAAATAACGAGAAACAGTGAAATCTAGCTAGTTAACTTCAGCTAACTTTATGCGAGCGGCAACATGGATCGATTGTTAGTCAAGTTACCTAAAGTGAGAGAGGAGAGAGGAGACAGCGTCTGGCAGAAAACTGAGGAAGTATGACCACGATTATTTGAAGCTAGGATTTTCATGGACTGGTCCTGGCAGGGGCGGACTGGCCATCTGTGTGAGAATCACAGAACGGCCGGTGGTCAGCGGGCCGTTGGCGGCTGGCTCGGTTCGCTGAAGGCTGGCACCGCCCTCTATTTTAATTGTAATAATACTTACTTTGATCAAAAGCAAGAACCGGTCAAGGCTGCAGCCAGAGGATGATCTGCGTTTATTCCTGTCTACATTGCATCCCCGCATCATCCGCCTGTGTGCATCAAAGACGCAGACTCATTGTTCCCACTGGGTGAGTGTAATAAGGAGGCAAAGTTGACGTTCAGTGTGTTGCCAGGAGCATATAAGGATTTATCCACAATGTTGAAAATGTTAAAACAAATTCAAACGATAAAGATAAATTTTAAAGATAAAAAGGTTTTAAAAAGTTGTTGTTTAATGTTTTAAGGAGGTGACGCTACTCAGCCAATCAAATCGGTGCAGTCATTGAGTCAGCACGATAGATTCAAACACACAAACAGAGACGAGACAAGAAGAGAGAAACAGTCGGAGTCATTTCAAATGGCGTGCTCAAAAAAGAGAAAGGTAGACCGGGAAAACAGAGCATTTAATGAAATGTTCTCTTACTGGACATCTTTGAAATGCAATTGAATAGCCCTGCATTATAGCAACAACAACAATAACAATAATAGCAATAATAATTGGGAGGGGGGGCGCGGCTGTTCTTATGTTCTCAGAGGGGACTTTGAAAACCCCTGATGTAGTGTGTTATATTGATTTCTGTGCATGTAAATAGTCTGCGAGAGCAAAAATCTCAAATGTTCGTCCAGAGGGGGTTTCCCTCCCACACACTGCCTGAAACGCCTCCATTGAACTCCTTTGTTTACTTCTGTAACATAGTGACATCACTATGTAACACTTGCTCTTATTTTGGGTAGCGCTCCAACACACTGTACATGATAGACTAAGAGGCAGGACATCTCTAACGGTTGACGAATCACAACAGAGCCGGCCAGCTAACCAATCAGAGCAGACTGGGCTCTGGTTTCAGACAGAGGGTGAAAAGAGGTGCTGCAGCACAGGCAGTATGATAAAAATAAAGACCTTGTTGAACAATAAAGCATGAAGACATGTCACAGTAGAGACACACAATACAAATATGAACCTGAAAATTATTATAATAGGGCCCCTTTAATGTATTAAGCAGAAAATGTTATTGTTAATATTGAGAGGTACATACTCAAAAAGAACACAAGCTAGATGATTTCTGTTACAAACTAATATTTCTTTGCTTGTAAAGTCCAAAATATTTCACAATATTCTTAATTTGTGTACCTATTTAAAAGATCATATTAGTGTGTATTGCATTGAAGGTAAGACTCACCATCATCTATGATGCTGACCACCACTCCAGCTCCGGTGATGTTGTTGCTCCAAACTGGCATCACATTCAGGTCCAACCCACTGCTGTACTGGCCCTGTGCAAACTAACCCACAAACACAGCATTATTATTAGAGCTTGAACATGACGACAGCATTGAGATTGTTAAACATAACCCTGAATGCATCGCTGACTAGTAGTAGGTGTAAAAGCCAGTGGTGTCACCACCACAGTTACCAGAGCATTTCTTTGGACATTCTTTCAGGTGTTTTATTTTGCAACTGTTTTAACAGTTATTTTTAAATGGAGGTTGTATTTATGCATATCAGGTACAATTGTGGTACTTCTTCTAGCATGATATTGCCTGCAGATGGACCCACATCCTCCTCCTCACCTTCTTTATTTGTTCTACTTTCACCTTTAGTGACTAGACCGCTCGACCCGCTGGAGACGCTAGTACATATGCCGGGCCTGTAAGTGGCGCTGTACTTCCCCCACAAAATATACAAAAGCAGCGAAGAAGACCCCCCGAGCATGGTTGCCATGGTTGCCTGGTTGCCCTTCTGTTTATTCTCCGCGGTGGATTTAGCAACATGTAGTTCATGTAGTTCTCCATGTCCACTTGTTGCTGATGGTTGTGGTAGAGGAGCTGTAGATGTTGCACTAACATCTGTAGCATGGTCAGTAGCAGTAGCTACTGACCATGCTACAGCAGTGAGCAGCAGAGGTGGGGAGAGGCGGGGCTATGGCTTCATCGTTATCAGGAAATGATCGTATAGGACGTACACACTGAGCCGTTTGCCCCCCCAGAGCGTTTCGTCCGCAGATCTACCCACCTTGGGACACGTTATCGTTTGAGGGCTCCGTTTCCGCGGTTCTGTTACGGCCTCGTGTGAACGAACCGTCCGTACGATAGAGAACTGTAGCGGATACAACCCGTTTCGTCTCCATGTAGACGTGGCCTAAGTGGCACACTGTTTTGTATGAAGGAGGTATGAATGAGGTGTGAATAGGTGAAAGATGACTTGTAAGTGTAAGAGCCTTTTGAGGGCTCTTAAAGACTTGATAAAGCGCTATGTAAATACAGTCCTTTTACCATTGAGTGTGTGGCAATGCTTACATGTCCTTTGTTACATATCTGACCTGTCCTGCATACCTCCTGACCCTTGATCAGACCCTTCCTCCTACATATGAGATATTAACCCTTCCCAAATCTCATCTCCACATTACGCTGTTATGTAGTGTTGCAATTAAAAACAGTATGGGTCCTAAGGAGCCCAGAGAGTTCATGAGGAAGTCAGACAGAACTTTCATCCCTGCAGCTCAAACTACAAACACACCCACTCTCAAACAAACACATGAACAAATCGACATACATGTGCAGAACAAAAACAGCAGCATGGTGATGCTAGAGAGTCATGGTTGCAACTCCCATGAGCTTGAGTGGCCCCATAAACATCTATTCGCTTAAATACACTAACACTTATACATACACATATACATATAATAACACACTGTTCCTATACAACTTTACATGATACAGATGCACACACATATTATACACAATAGATGCACACTCAGGGAGTGAACAAACTGTCTTACCAAAAATGTCAGCAGCTGTCCACACACATGCACGAACACACACACACACACGACCAATTTGATATTCAAAGTGAGTGTTCCAAGAGGCTTCAACTCTGTTGTTGTTATCATGATGAAGAGAGAGAGGAGAGGAAGAGAGTGCACAATGGGGAAAAAACGGCTCAGTAAGGGGTAGTGCGTGTGTGTGTGTGTGTGTGTGTGTGTGTGTGTGTGTGTGTGTGTGTGTGTGTGTGTGTGTGTGTGTGTGTGTGTGTGTGTCCGTGAGTATGTCTGTGCATGTGTTCAGGGGGTTTGCACCTAGGGAATGATGCTTTGTAGTGTGAGAATAAAGCAGATGAATAGAAGCAGCTAGCATGCTAACGTCCACCAGAGCACGAGGACCGGCCCTTGGGAGGGAGCGGACACACACACACGGACATTCACACGGACACACACAGGTGCAATAAAACTGAAACACTCCTTTTTTTTTTACTTGGTTATAAGCCAACATTGAGGCATCTTGAACGCTGACTCACTTCACACTCACTGTCATGAAGTGAAAGTCAACAACACAGGCATCACACTTACACACACATAATCGTGCACAGAATAATTATCATTCTCTGAAGCAGTGGAACACAAGCAATCCTATCTCTCCAGCAAATATACTCATTGACACACACACACACACACACACACACACACACACACACACACACACACACACACACACACACACACACACACACACACACACACACACACACACACACACACACACACACACACACACACACACACACACACACACACACACACACACACACACACACACACACACACACACACACACACACACACACACACACACACACACACACACACACACACACACACACACACACACACACACAGAGTTGTAAAAAAGTGAATGCACAAAACACACACATGCAACAACAAAACTATCTCTCTGCCTTTATTTTGGCTGCCCCTCAGTTATACATGTAGCATACAACACACTTTTTACTCTCCCTCACACACATGTACATCATCTGCAGCAAGCACGTCCAGGATGCTGTATGGATTTCAGCAGCTTTGAACAAGCTCCTCTGGAGGAGCTGGTCTCAGACTATAAGCAACGATACAATGGAGTCCACTTGCCTCGTGTGTGTGTGTTTGTATGTGTGTGTGTGTGTGTGTGTGTGTGTGTATGATTGTGTGTGTACGGCTCACTCATGATATACACACCAGCTTCTAGCTAACATACACACACATACAAGCCTGGTCCTGGCAGGCTACCAACCCTGAGCAGATTACTGACCCTCAATCAATATCCACGTCCACCAGAGGCTGATTAAACACAACAGAAGGAGAGCAGGGGAGGAGGGCAAGAGAGGGTAGGGGGGGCTCAATTTCAGAAATGGTTTACATTTTTCTTGATTATTGAGGAAATGACGATGAATATGTTCATGCAATTCGCTATATGGTTAGCGTTAGCTTTAAAAATGTACTTCTCCATTAACAATCTTGTCAATTAAGATTACAATTTTAGACCATATGCGACGAATCGTACTCAGGTAGAGAAGCTGTGTCAGATTTTCTGCCTCGTTTCATAGCCCTCCTCCCTCCCTCCCTCCATAGATGTCTCTGCCACTCTCCGCCTCCATCCTGACTCTCACCCCACCATCTTGCCCCGAGAGCTGAGGTGTCAATCAATTTGTTGCCGTGGTGAATTTGTAGCCCCGCCTCTCTCCCTCCTGCCTCTGTCAGATTACACCCTTGCACGCCAGTCAAGAACATCCTGCGTGTGATTGGCTGAGCCCAGGAGCCTGCTATGTGAGTGTTTGTGTTGGGATACTTGGCAGTACCCTATAAATCTGTTCAGGTGTAATACAATTATGCATGTCGACTATAATCTTGCACTGTTGGAAGTTCACACAAATGTTATGGGAACTGGGAAACAGTAATATGTAAAAGAAACATGAAAATACAAATGTATTTGTAGGAAGAAGAAAAAAAGAAATTCGATGAGCTGTCTGATTGCTCCTTGAAATAAGACTGGCAGCAGATAGATTAATACTTTAAAGAAACATTTTTCGGAAACATATGTTTCTCTATGAAGAACTCTGAGCAAGGTATGTATTGAACAGGACATTCTAATTTAAAGTGGACCTATTATGCTATATTGGAAAAATATATTGGAGGGCCATACCTATACAAAACATGTCTGTGAAGTGTTTTGCTTAAAATACCAAACAGATCACCTCGCTCTTGATGCGCCGGTGAAGATGGCCGCATCGTCTTTGTGCTCCTCTCCAACTTTGCCCATTTTCGTATTTTGTACATATTTCTTTTACTTTTGCCGTTTTACTTTTAACATGGTTCGCAACATGCTAGCCGACCGCACCTACTCTGCCATACAATATAGCAGAGAGGAACTTTTCCAATTGCGAAACTTCGTGGACAATATTAACCCTCCGACAGACAATGGAGATTCACCATGGCTACCTGTTGCTGTTCTACCTGAGAGACGCAAGAAGAAGACAAAGCGAGGATGCCGGGCCGGGTTGCTGGTCAGACTGAGAAAACGTGAGAATCGGCCCCCTCTTCCGAGTATTCTTCTGGCTAATGTTCAATCCATTGAAAATAAGCTAGATGAACTCAGAAGCCGGATTGCTTTTCAACGGGACATTAAGAACTGTAACGTGTTAATTCTCACTGAGACTTGGCTCAACCCCGCTATCCCGGACTCCGCTATTGTCCCTGACGGATTCTCTATTTTTCGTCAGGACCGGACTGCAAACTCGGGGAAAAGTAAGGGAGGCGGTGTGTGTGTAATGACTAACAACAACTGGTGCTCAGATGTGAAGATTATTTCATCGGACTGTTCCGCACAGCTAGAGCACCTCATGATCTCATGTCGGGCCTTCCATCTGCCGAGGGAATTCACATCTGTTGTGATAACAGCAGTGTATATCCCGCCGCAGCCACTCGCCGACAACAACACGGCACTCGATCAGCTGTTTGGGTTTATTGATAAAACCGAGACTTCACGGCCAGATGCGGCGTTCGTTGTGGCCGGAGATTTCAACACCGCCAACATGAAGAAGGTTTTGCCAAAATATTACCAACACATCAACTTCCCGACGCGCGGGGGAAACATACTGGACCATGTTTATTCCCCTTTCCGGAATGGATATAAGGCTCTCCCTCGCCCTCCCTTCGGCAAATCAGACCATATCTCACTACTGTTGTTGCCTGCGTACAAGCAGAAACTTAAAAGGGACAGACCGATAACAAGGACAGTACAACGATGGAGCGAGGAGTCAGATTCAGCACTGCAGGATTGCTTTGCATCCACGGATTGGAGTGTGTTTGAGGACAATAACATCAACACACACATGGACACTGTCATCTGCTACATTGGGAAATGCATCGATGACGTGGTACCGAAGGTTTCTGTACGGACATTCCCAAATCAAAAGCCCTGGGTAAACGGTGAGGTGCGCGGCAAACTGAAAGCGCGCACTCTCGCGCACACAGCGGGAGATTTGGAGGAGTACAGGAAGTCTAGGTATGATCTCCGGAGAGCAATAAAAAATGCAAAGAGACAGTACAAAGAGAAGGTGGAATCTGACTTCAAAGGCTGTAACACTAGGAATATGTGGGCGGGACTAAGGACAATGACTGACTACAAAGGAGCAGCGGGGGGTGCTGCGGGAGTGTCTGCGTGCGCATCTCTCCCAGATGAGCTAAACAGTTTTTTTGCACGCTTTGAGAGCAGCCAGGCTGTGGAGGTACAGAGGGACCAGGAGCTACACTGCCCTTTTGTTTTAAATAGGGCAGATGTGTGTAAATCCTTTAAAAGGGTTAACCCACACAAGGCTCCTGGACCTGATGGCATCCCTGGCCGTGTTCTCAGGGTGTGTGCAGTTCAGCTGGCAGAGGTGTTCACAGACATCTTCAACAGGTCCCTGCTGCAGTCTGTAGTCCCCACATGTCTTAAACACTCCACCATCATTCCTGTCCCCAAAAAGACAATCATCACCTGCCCCAACGACTACCGCCCAGTAGCACTCACCTCCATCATAATGAAGTGCTTTGAGCGGTTAGTCAAATTATTCATCACCTCCTCCCTCCCTGAATCTCTGGACCCCCTGCAGTTTGCCTACAGAGCAAACAGGTCCACAGACGACGCCATAGCCCTCACCCTCCACACTGCCCTCTCACACCTGGACCCGAAGAACAGGAACACATATGTGAGAATGCTGTTCATTGACTACAGTTCAGCATTCAACACCATTGTGCCCTCCAAGCTGGCCATCAAGCTCAGAGACCTCGGGCTCAACAGCGCCCTCTGCGACTGGATCCTGAACTTCCTGACGGGCAGACCCCAGGCAGTGCGGGTGGGAAATATCACATCCTCCACCCTGATTCTTAACACCGGAGCCCCTCAAGGCTGCGTGCTCAGCCCTCTCCTCTACTCCCTGTTCACCCACGACTGCGTGGCCACACACAGCTCCAACACCATCGTGAAGTTTGCTGATGACACGACCGTCATCGGCCAGATCACAGACGATGACGAGACGGCATACAGAGAGGAGGTCGAAAACCTGACATCTTGGTGCCAGGAGAACAACCTCCATCTCAACATCAGCAAAACAAAGGAGCTGATTGTGGACTACAGGAAGCAGCAGGGAGAGGGACACGCCCCCATCGCCATCAATGGGACTACGGTGGAGAGAGTCAAAAGCTTCAGGTTCCTTGGGGTCCACATCACTGAGGACCTGACATGGTCTCTTCACACCACCACCATCACCAAGAAAGCTCGACAGCGGCTCTTCTTCCTCCGCAGGTTGAGGAGGTTCAAAATGGATTCCAGGATACTCTGCAACTTCTACAGGTGCACGATAGAGAGTATCCTCACTGGCAGCATGACGGCCTGGTACGGCAGCTGCACCGACCTCGATCGTAAGGCTTTACAGAGGGTGGTGAAAACTGCACAGCACATCACCAGGACGGAGCTGCCATCCATGGAGGACCTTTACTCCCAGCGGCTCAGGAAGAAATCACTACGGATTATCAAAGACCCCCATCACCCCAGCCACAAACTGTTCTTTCTGTTGCCGTCTGGCAGACGTTACCGCAGCATCCGGGCAAGGACAAGAAGATTCGGAGACAGTTTCTTCCCGCGGGCAGTGAGACTGTTAAAAAATTGAACTGTTGAAACAACTTCAAACATTCAACTGCTACTCAGTAGTATGTATCTAATACCTAATATATATATATATCATTCCAATAACTTGTATATAGACTCATACTGCACTATTCCACATCATAACTTTATTTCATTTTTATAACTATTATTATTTTTGTATTGCTCTTGCTCTTATTGTTATTATGTTATGTTATTATGTTGCATTGTTGGAGAAGCCTGTGACATAAGATTTTCAACTGCATAATTACTCTGTAGCTATGTCAGATTGACAATAAAGAACCTTGAACCTTGAACCTTGAACCGTTGTAGCCATGCCTCATACTGCTCATACCCCTCTTTTGCAGCCCTGTTGGAGAAACGCGGATTTTGGGTCCTTAGCTTGATAAAAAAAAAAAGAGGAGGCGGAGCTAATGCCTGATCAGAATTCTACCGGAGATAAAGTTAAATTCTGCTGTGATAAAACGCCATCCTGTTCTAAACCACATCAAGGATTATTTCTGAAACAGTATGGAGGTTTATTGCAGGTTTATCACAAGGTGAGTTCCTTTTTTTATTTCCTGCTTTAAACACATGTGCTTTACAGTACAGGTTAGCTCTGAGTGTTAGCGAGGCTTGCTAATGTAAACAAAAACGAGATTACGTCCAAAACACGTCAGGCATTGTTTCAGATGGCAACTTTCTGTGGGGCCGCCGCCGATATTACGTCATATCGGCAGGAAATCTGTATCCGCTCGTTGTACCCCCGTTTTTAAAAGATTTGGGTACGGAGGAAAAGAGAAAGGGTTTTATTTTCTGACGCTGCGTGAGTTCCCTGACACACCGGGGACACATATTTATGTATAAAAGACATCATCTTTTGCATCCAGCTCTATTGGACAAACAATCTAATAGCTGATTTTTATCTTAAAGGTTGGCATTTTTTGTTATTTCCTGACAATCTGGTCAACATATGCACCAACATGGACACATTTGCATTAAGTACGTATCAGTCGGGGGAAATTATCGGTCTAGTTAAAAATAATTGCCTTTTGTGAATAAAAATAAATAAATTAAATATACATTTTTCCAACAAGGAACAGTTCTACTTATTCATTTGCTGAATTTGTAGTGATTTTGTCAATTTAATCTTCAGGATAGGCCTCCTTTTAAAATCCACAAAATAAGTATTCATATTATAATTCAGAGACAGTTCTGAGAAAGATATCACTCCAAATAATGGTTTACTGCACAGAAAAGATCAATAATAACAGAGGCAGTGGGACATCTGCACAGGTAAACAACTTCGACTGAATTTTAAAGAATAGGATGTAATCTTTAAAGGTCCCATGACATGCTTTTCCGGTTATTACCCGTCCCCTTGTGTGTTATGTAGCTTTTTATGCATGTAAACGGTCTGCAAAGTCACAAACCCTCAAAGTACACCCTGTAGCGAGTAAAACTCTAACACGGCTCCACGAATTTCCGCACACACACACACACACTCACAGCCTGGCTATGAGTGTGTGTGTGTGTGTGCAGGCTGAGTTACGCGGTGTCTCGCTGTCTTGCAGACCCCACGCAGCAACCAGGAAACGACACCAGTAATCCAGCTCACACTGTCCGCTCCTCGAGCCTCAAAGGGCGGAGCAGCGAGCCCCGCAACGTCCCGCCAACACGGCACCCAGACCCCCCTCATCTGTTTGTCATTACTGGTGTCATTTTCTGGTTGCTAACGCCATTGTAACACATAAACACTGATGTCCAGCTGGTGGCAGGTGCTCCAACAAGCCTTTTAGGACAGAGAGTGAATACACATACTATACAGAGATGCTGTATGAGAAAACCAATGTGATTTTGGAACATTGAACAATGTAAATCTATTCTAGTAGACCTCAACAATGGAATTATGATCAGTAGAAATGGCCATGTCAAGGGACCTTTAAAATCTTTTATAGAAGAATTGCAGTCATTATTGAATGAGGGTAGAACATTTTTAAATGAATTCACTAGGCACCTTTGGTTCATTGTTGCCATTCTTTTTTAGAATGGGAGGCATTTAAGCTATAACACACTTTGTTTGCCTCCTTGATTGTGTGTTATGGGGCAAATACTCAGACTGAAGTTATTGTAGTAATTCTTACATTTTCATATAAAAACATACTGGTGTTGTACTGCTGTTGTTCTGCACCAACACATATTGTCCAAACCATGTGAACAAAACAGTTTTGAAGGGATGATGTTGTATGTTGCAGCACAGTTTGTGTGTCAGTGTTGCTCCGAGCCTCATCAATCCCTGACATCTGTCTCAGTTCAACATGGACAACCCTTTCACCTCGTCTCCCTCTTCCTCCCCCTCTCTTTTCTCTCCCTACTTCCCTCTCTCTTCTGTCTCTCTCTCCAGTCACACATGAAAGCCTGCCTGACTCCGGCCTGTCAAAGGAACATCCTTCACCATGAAGAAGAGATGAGAGAGGAGAAAGCTTCCTGATCAGAACACACAAAGAAACACACCCACCAGTTCCCACTGCATGGGCCAGAGCGGGTCATTGAAGGTGAGGGACTGGTCACTCTTTTTCTTCTCCTCCGGCTGCCTGTCAGTTGCTCTCCTCTGGGAACCTGTAAGCACACAGACCCATCATGTGTGGAGTTTTTTTTTCTTGTTTTGAACTCTGACTTCAGGAAGTCCCTGGTCTCCAACCAATGGTGAAAGGCCTCCCAGATTCCCCTTCTCTCCAGTGAGGTGGAATACTGCCGGCAGATTAGCATATCATTAGCATACCATTAGCATCTCATTGCTGCGGCACAGCTTGGCTCGCTGTCTGTCGATGTGCTATCGGCTCATCAAGGCCTGCACCTCTCCGTACACTTCATGCACTCACTGCCACACACTCTTTCTCTCTCTCTCTTTCTTGCTTTATTCACATTTTCAGCACTGCACAGTACCCCATCTCACTGCCATCCACACTTTTCTCTTTCTCAAATGATGGATATGAATCAGTTTGTTTCATAACACACCGTATGTATTGCAGAATTAATTAAGATCACACTAGTTGGGAAACCTTGTTTCTGAAATGACTGGAATAAAACAAAGCACACACATGAGCATGAATATATTTCAAGCATTAGTATGAATATTGGGGGTAATTAGTGTTAATATAGAGGGTTATGGTACAGTACATGTATTGATCCTAAATTAAATAAATTGCTTATGAGATTCTCTGTGGTTTAGTACTCCTTCTGTAAGTTATTATGGACACAGTAGCCTACACTTTTAGTTATAGGTCTTTTTTTGGGTGCAACATAAATTATAAAGTCACAATCTATAACTTGTGCAAAGACAGCTTTCAGGATGGTCATTGCAAATCATTATTATTATTTAGATGATTTTTTGGGAGCATAATGGTTTCAATTTAGGGACAGTGACGCAAATCAAATAGAGGTGAAGTAGAAAAGAAATCTAAAATTTGCCAACAGTGAATAATCAAACTTGGTAATCAAACACGCTCATCTATTAGCGATGGTGTCAACTAAGTAAGTGCTGACAGTCACATCTTTTGCAGGTCAAAAATGAAACCGACTAGGAAACATACCAGAACCTAACATGTAAAATCACTTTTTTTTCTTATCCGAAAGGGAACCAGAACACAGTAACCAAGACCAATCAGAACTAAGTATAATTACATCCAATACAACAGTGGGTTACCCAAAAAGACTAACAGAGAGAGAACATCAGCCGTGTCAACAGTATGATTAGGCATGGTCAAAAATAAAGACAAGATTAGGCTATTGACCTATAAAAAAAGTGATAGAAACCAATGTAAAAGTGAATTTGTTATAGAGCGAAACTTAAGTTTGAGATGTTCCAGTATGTTGGTATCAAGGTAAATCAGGGTATATGTCATCCATACCAGCTAAAATACTCTTTACTGTACTGTGTTTATAGTCCATCACAAACTGCTAACGTTGCAACACTGCACTACACTACGGCAGCCTACAGTAAGAACACATTTAGGTATCACTAATAAATGTTAAATTCCATGATTGACCTAATGGCAGTAATACTAAAATGTTGATTCTGTAACAACACTGTACAATTGTGAGTGGACCAAGTGTCTCTTTTGTTCCAACAACTCATCTCCTCATCTTCTTAATAGTTCTGTCTGTTATGTCCATGATTCATATTGGATCAATATAAGGTGAAAATAAGTATTGGATTTTAATAGATATATATATCCAGGAGTAAAAAAGAAGGATCTGTACTGCTGCGAACTGAGAATGAACCTTTAAAAAAAAAAGAAATGTGAATCAAATCACAAAAAACATTTAATAGCATAATTATTACTGATTATACCGAGTACACTCATATCGGTAAGGATCCACACGTGTATTAGATATATTCAAACACAGACCTAAAACACTACCAAACCCAGTACGATTCGGAAGAGCCTAATAAAGCGACTAATAAATACAATAATATTCAAAAATAAGCTCCTTTCTATTTTGCTGAGATTGAGATGAGAAGATCCATACCAGTGTCAAGCTATGGAGCTAAAGCCATGGTCACATTAGCTTAGCTTAGAAGAATAGCATAAAGACAGCAAAACAGAGGAAACATTAAGCAAGGCTTGGTCCAAAGGTAAACATGAACCTGACATTACCACCACCTCTAAATTAAACCACCAAACATGCTAACCAAGAAGAACAAATGTGGTAATTGATGTGTTAATAATATAATGAAGCATTCCTGTTTATTTGCTGAAATTAGATCAGCATTTCATGTTTACATTTGTGTGTTTTCTTCCTGTTGTAACAAAAATAAACATACCAAACTACAATTCCTGTACCATTACACACACAGTCCTAATACTAGTCTTACTAATTATAAACTGTTATTTAATAGAGCGTAGAGTACCAACATTAGGATTTTCCACACTGCCAAGAAACTGTCTTTGGCTTGAAAATGGTAATGTTTGAGAAAACTGGCACACAATATTGAACATTGGCAGCTTCAGTCTTTCTAGTAGGAAACATCAGACTTCAAAAGTTCAAAAAGGTCAAAACGTATGAGTACACTCTCTCTTTCTCTGTCCTGTATGTGAATATACATACATCCACTACATCTTTGTCTTTTTACATTTCTCTCTATAACTCGTCTGTATATCATCTATCAGAGGAGAGGCTGAGCGACACAGTGAGGATGGGAACTTCAGCAGAACGTGAGCCAGTTCTTTTTCTTGTAATAACACACACATACACGATTCACACAATAGGGCTCAACATGCATGATGTTAATATTAAACGGACATTAAAAAGCTGCAGTTGTTATACTGGTTAAATCGGAGGGGTTCATCGTCTTTAAAGGTCAAAATGACTTCACAAAGATATCTAGAAAAACATATGTGACACAACACACATAAAGAAAGCCAAAGCTACCTACATACATGGATGAACCAATATGTTTTGCATATAGAACTGTATGTTTACACACATTGGTCTTTGTGTGACTGTAGATACAAGATGCTTTCTGACAGAATTCTAACAGCAAATTTGATTTGAAAGCCACTTCAGATTTCAAGGATGTAGACTTTAGAAAGGATGAACATCTCACCATCAAAAAATACTTAGTGCCATTTTAGTTTTAAAAAATGTAACATTCATTTGTGTCAGCTTATTAAAAGGGAACAGCCATGAGTTGACAGTATTTTAATTTTTTTTTGGCAAAATGTTGTTCAACGGCTCTCCTGTTTTAAATGTGTACTATTGACAGTAATTATACTGACACCTTGTTACAGGACTCACATTATCTAAAGACCAGTGACTTGTCAGTTATACTAAAATGCCTCCTTATATCTAAGTAAGCAAGTGTACAATCATGTATAAGATACTGTATATCTAAGAGTGCATCTAGCTAAAGTATATAACTGGCTGTTTCTTTAAGGTTTTTTAATTTCATAGTTCAGAATTGTTTATTAACTTGTTAGTTTATTGTTTTTTGTTTAGATTGTTCCATGCCTGTGGTTAATGTCATTAGGAAATTGAGCTTGCAAATAAATAGGAGTCAAAATAAAAAAAATATTCTTTAAACTACATTACCACCAAAACTTATATTTTAAAAGGGTGTGTTCAGCATCTACAAGTCACACATGAACACAATCCAATTAAACTACATGTATCAGGGATGTTTTTTAAATAGCTTTGATAAGAACATAGTCAACAGCTTTAGTTCCTTTTAGAAAGGGCAGATTAGTAAAGGTCTCTGTCCACAGAAGTACATTGCTTAGCTTCCTGATGATACTCCTGTCTATTTCTCTAAACCAGGGGCATGCTGACTACTGCAGGTAATATAGTGACTATGGATAAGTTGCTCAGTCACAACCCCTCTCCAAACAATACAAACAATTCCTTCAATTTACTGGAGGTCAGCAAAAACAAAACTTTTAGCTATGACAAAACGTCAGTGGAAAGAAGTGTGTTACTCAGAACTTACTGTAAGGGGTTCTGAGGTCCAGTCCTCTCACAGGGACCCGCTTGTCTCTGTAATGACTGTGCTGCCTCTGCACCCACTGAACCTGGAATCACAACAACAAGATATGCATTACTCTGAGGAAAATGTGAATTCACATATGTTGACTTGATTGAATTGAGATGCTTTCAAATCCCTTTCAACTATCTCCTTAAAATAATGAACCCATACAAAATGTATCATCTCCCAGATTACTGTCAGAATTTGAAATACATGGTTGAATTGAAACCAAACTACTTGGTTACATTTAGTAGATTAAGATGACGGTTTAGTTTAAAATAATATATATGGTACTTAAGTTACATAGACAAGTTAAGGATGTTATGTTGTGCACATTTTTTCATTTCATACAGGACACAAACAGTGTCCTCCATTTTAAATATTTCCAAAACAAACAAAGTTTGTACTCAAACATAATTAACTGTGCAGTTTTGTTACATGGAAACTACATTTTGAGCAAGACAAGCTTTCACTAGCCAATTAACTATTTGCTAGCGCTCCAAGACCTCTAAGCGGTTGACCAATCACAACAGAGCCGGCCAGCTAACCATCAGAGCAGACTGGACTCTGGTTTCAGACAGAGGGTGAAAAGAGGTCAGTGTTTCCCCTACCATTGTCTTGGAGGGGCGCTGCGCCCCGCCAACGGAGCCCCGCACCCCCCCTGAAATTCAAGGTGTTTGAATTTTTTTTATTTTATATATATATATATATATATATATATATATATATATAGCACCAAATTGCAACTAATCTATATCTACTGTCACTTTTCACATTGTACATGTGCTCTTTTATTAAATAAACCAAACACTCTCATTTTAAGTTGTGAGTTTAGTGTTTATGAGCCTAAGAAACACTGATGCATTAATCAATAACAATAATCCACAGCTCCTCTCTCTGCTCCAGAGGATTTAAAAAAAAAATATCCCAATATACACCCCCACCCCACGCTCAGGCAGCACCCCCCCAAAACAGTAAACCTAGGGGAAACACTGGAGGTGCTGCAGCACAGACAGTATGAGAAAAAGAAAGAGTTTTGTGAACATTAAAGCATGGAAACATGTCACAGTAGAGACACTAAATCCTATTTGAACCAGAACATGAGCAGAGTAGGGCCCCTTTAGTGTCCACTCTTTTCAAATGATGCTCATGTACTGCAAGTCTAACAATCTAAAACCATTTCTGAAGTCTTATTTTAGCCTTGTCTGGGTTTTTGTCTAAGGATGAAACCAAAACAGTGAGAAACACTAAAAAAACAGGCTAAATATTTGTGTTCTTTTCTGTTTTCCTCTACTTTAAAAGAGAGGGAAAATCCATAGCACAGGGAGAGTTGGGTACCTTCATGGAGGAGAGTAAAAGGTTTCCTCTTCATTAGTTCAAAGAGGACTCGCTCGCTCTCCCCTTTGCAGTCCCATTGTCCTGGGTTAAAAGCAACGAAAACACCCCCCCACCTGCACCTCTGTCCTCCACAGCACACACACAATATCTTTCATAGGCCGCTGCCTGCAGCTTTGATCTGATAAGAGGCTGGTCCTTGAGAAGGTGGGCGCACTAAATCAAACAACAGATCACAGACACACACGCGCAGACACACACAAACACACACATATCAGTGTCAGGCCACTATTGTCCTCTTACACTTAAATCAGAGTGGAAGAGGTTGAAAATAAATACTATTGAGAGGCGGCTGCGGTCTTTTATGTCCTAAAAGCCTGCTTGCTTTATTCCCCCTTCATGTTCTTCAATTAGACTCAATTAACAAGAGCTGGTCTAAACTACCCAAGGAAGACGGGTGCAGGGTGGAAGGGGGGGTTGTTAAAGCTAATAACGTTCCATGTGTGATATTAAACACTGAATACCTCGGACAGGAAGTGGATGTGATACGTGTACGATTCCACATTAGGCTGATCAGATTCATTTAAGATAAAATGGCCTCGGTGTAAAATGTTGTTTAGTTTACACGTTTCATGTGATGCCTTATTAACAAGAGGATACTTTTGACTAGATAACATGGCATTTGTGAACTAATTTAATTTGCTTTAATTTAAATACTACTTTTCAAAAGTTTGGAATCGCCAGCAAGGGCTGCGGACAGCCAAAAGAAAAATGTCTTTCCAAAATATTAAGAGCCTTATGCACCATTGTGTTTCAATAACAATGGGGCCACTTAAGCCTTTCTACGAATACAAACTAATTCAAATATGGAAGTGTATTCAGGGGAATAAAGGACTGCAGATTGCTCTTCTGTCCTTCAATATTTTGGGGACATTATATAAATGGAAGTTTCAATGATATAAATATTATTTTTTTGGTAGCCTAAGCTATTTAAAATCTCAATAAAATGAATGCAGCAAAAATTGAACAAACTTACCATTCATGAACAACGAAATTATCTTATGTTATTTATCTCCCTTACAATTACCTGTTTACATATGAAGAAACATTTGTAAAAAAAAAATACATTTACAAAAATGTATTCAATATACTGAAGGTGCAACAGCTTTGTATTAATGTATGTCTTCCATGTGTCATATGTGCATGTTTTTATCAGACAACCACTGGAAGGACTTTTATACACCATCAGAAGAAAGTGAAGCCCTAACCTTAATGACAAAGGACCTTCCTTTGCTAACCCATTGTTCAATATAAATCTGAATCAAGAAATGTATATTTGTATACTTCTGTCTGTCAGCTTGTTTATGGAAATGCCTTAATAATCTGAACAAATTAGTTCCCGAATAGATATATTTATGTGAATGCCTCCTCAAGTCCGAACAACAACACAGCAATAGATAACGTGTTCTTTGAATGCTTTTAGAACGCTTTTAGAACGAATAAAATAAAACATCCTCTAGAGCCATGTTGTTTAAAAGTTACATCTTAATACTCATAAACACATCAAAGTTGGAAAACAACATCCCAACTCTGGAAATGGGAATATTTGAGCAGCATGTGAATGCACCATTTGCCCTGGCAGAGGTCCACACTCTCCGAGTGCCATTGTTTTTCTTGATGCTACATATATATATACACTCAAAACTAACATATTATATATATCAAACAAAGACATTTGTAGATAACAAGGATGATACTGTGTGTATATGTGTGGGTGTTTAAGTGTGTACGCCCCAACTACCTTGTACAACCCCTCCAGCCCCTCCTCTGGAGGAGCAGCCAGGACACGGTGATCAATACACATGATAGGGAGCTAATCGCTCTCTGTCAAACCAGACCCTGCCAGCTACTAATGGCACACACTCATTGGGGAATGTATGTGTGAATGTATGTGTGTGTGTGTGTGTGTGTGTGTGTGTGTGTGTGTGTGTGTGTGTGTGTGTGTGTGTGCCTTAATGGCAGATTGAGACTCTTTAGGGAGTGTTGCTCAAGGTTAGACTCAGGGGATGGGGGGCAATTGACCACACTGTCTGTGACACTGACCCCTCTACTGTCAGCGCATTCATCATCCAGCTGTGACAAATAGGCAGCACACGCACACACACATACCACACGCATACACACACACCACACACACATACACACATAGATTAAAAGTACAGATAAAACCACACAGTACACATAGTACAGTGAACAATTCAATCACTTGGCAAATAGCACATTTTGCAAACAGAACTTCTTTCAATGACTGCCATACACATGCAACTTCAAATGTAAAAAAAGCAGACATATCTCCCTTCAAAATAAAAGCCTATTTAAAAACAAAGAGAGTTTGACAGAGAGAAAAGGGATGAGATCTACGGTGGCCAACCCGTGTAAAAGTGTTACAACAGCCTAACACATTTCCATTAGGAGAACTGCGATGCTGTTTTAAAAACAATGCAAATAAAAAAACACATGCAAATGAAGAAGCATCTTCACCAACTTGACAACACATGCGTAGCATTTAGAAAACATTTACCAACTTGATGAAACATGTGCAGGGTTTATTAAAGCGCTGCATAAATGAAATTCTGCAAACACAACATGGGAATGCCGCGCTTGTTGAAGTTCGAGGATTATAAAATTGGCCCACTGGAAACTTACCTAAAATGTACGTTCTTTTGGCTTATTTTAACAATGTGACCGCATGATTCCTTCCGATATTATTGCAGATCTGCTAAAGCTAGCTAGCTAACCTAGTCATTTCAAATATACTGAAAAAACAGTTAAAACTTCAAGAAGCACTCCAGTCCCAGCTGTGTGCATCACTTTGAATTTTCCCCATTTGCCTCTTGCAGGGTTCTTTTTAATTGCAGCGTTTCGTTTATTCATTATTTTTAGTCAACTCTGCGCATGCTCCGTCAAGTTGTGAATGTTTTCTAAATGCTTGCACCTGTCAGCCACCGTAGAGATCAGTTTAAAAAAAACACAAGGTAGGGTCTGTAGAAAATGTTTGTAAAAATGGTTTTCCAGCAGTGAGGAAGAAAAGAGCTCTGGAGCACTTGCATGATGGATTGGCTGAGGTACAACTGACAGAGGCACAATGTGAGTGTGTGGAGGAGAAGAAAGACAGTAGGATGGAGTGAATAAAAGTGTGTGTTTGCTCTCCATATGAAGAATATTCTGTGAGTGTGTGTGTGTGTGTGTGTGTGTGTGTGTGTGTGTGTGTGTGTGTGTGTGTGTGTGTGTGTGTGTGTGTGTGTGTGTGTGTGTGTGTACATAGTACTCCCATGTCTCTGTATGAATGAGTGGATGCGGTGGATGGCAGGCAGCTGCAGCAGTGTGATACGAGCCGAGCTGCACAGATACCAGGGCTGACATTTTGGGCTTCGCTACCCACCCACAGCCCCCTGGGAAAGTGATGGCCATGGCAGCGGCAGTGGCCACATGCCCCCTCAACCCCCACACCTCACCGCCTCCCTCTGCCTGTCAATCACAAAGCTGTGCCTCCTGGCTCTGGTTGGACCCACGATGCCACGCAGAAGTGAACGCACCACATGACCAACCAGCACCCAGACACTGATGCACTGCTGATCCCTATCTGGACCCCCCCTCCCCTCCACTCATATACTCTTCATTCAATCTCTCATCTCTAACTGCCAAGCTGAT